GAAAGACCCAGCCCTAAAGCATCTTCCTCCTTCCTAAACGGATCAGCATGCCATTTTTCCTTTTCCTTCCAAGTGAACTTTCTCTTCTTTAACAACCCACTTCTTTTGAATTTCTTTGTTTTCTCTTAGCCCAGTAACACTGGGTTATCCTTTCCAACTGGCCTATCATTACTAACACTAATATTATGTCTGAAATTCCTTTTCTGCCCCTCTTTTCTACGAGTGTGAGTAGCCAGGTCAGAGCCGCCCGTTTTCATATTCGGAATCATCTGTCCTACCCGAAAACTCCTTCCCCCAACAGATCGGAGAGCAGCCGCATAGGATTGAAAGTTCCCGAATCCAACATTGAATGGGATCGGAGAAGCACAGTGAGGACAGTTAATGGTAACGTTTCAAGAGGAATCCGGGTGTCTTGCGTTTGGTGCAGGATCTGAGAAGTTTGATTTTGTGTTTCGTGGTTCACTTTTTGGCGGCTTAATCAGTTTATTTGCGAGTTCGCAGCCACCACCAGCTTCCACCATCCTTTCCATTGGACGTCAGGCAGAAAGACAATCCGCTTCGTGTTTCGATTGCTTTGGACCGTCAATGCAAGAAACTCACCTCTTCTGTTCTTCCATGCGCAAGCCACAGCTCATAGTTGTTCTTCACCAGGTGTTTCACCCAAGTTCCCAGCTTTCTGCTCCACCAAAACTCGTTAAGCCCTTCCAGGAACCATCTAAACTCGTCTCATTCAAGAAATACCAATCTTCTGAATCCTCTCCCATTTTCGCAGACTCGCAAACATTCTGTGTTTCTTCCTTCACAGATCAAGTCGAATGCTTTATTCTCAATGTAGAGATATCGTCTGCCAAGCGAGCTCATAAGAATAGCCCCGCCTATCCGGCCGAAATCGGCCAGAAATAGCCGTTACAAGCAAAGTATTTCAAGAGAGTTTAGAGAGAGAGACAGTTTAGAGAGAAAAAGAGCCGTTACAAGACATGTATGATTTTATCACACCTCAATGCTTATTTAGACACAAGAACATTGGTTCACCAAGATTTTGGCACTCTTCATTACATTGTCAATTGTTAAAATTTCTGTCGTACCCCCTCCCAGAAGACCTATATAAGATTTAGTCAATTTCTCTAACACTTCCCATCAAGTCTAAGTTAAAAAAGCTGAAGTTTGTTAGAAAAAAAAAAAAAGAAAAAACCAAAACTAGCACCCTTGTGGCTTGACAGAATTCACAAAATGCTTGCGATAAAACCAGTAAGTTCAAAAAAATTATTACAATAAGATTGGCAAGTTCCACAAATTGCAAATCAATGAGCTCAATCAGGTATTAACTTATTACTTGTCCTCAACAACTAGACATTGTATCCACCAACAGCAGCTATAGACCTCACATGAACCACAACCATAAACCTTACCAACAACTTGCTACCAATTTCAACAAACAACAAATCAAAAACTTATTCTTTACGGCAAAAAGCCTTTTATTGCCAGTGAACAACAAGCTCTAAGAGTTCACAACTTTCAGGGGCAACTAGTGATGCAAAATAAGAATATCCTATAATATATATATGTTTTACTCTTATGAGATGTTCATTTAACTATAATTTTATCTATTATTAAGAATATTTAGTTTTATGTACTTCCTTTTCTTCCTTTCTTAATAAGACTTCTTTTTCTATAAAAAAAAAAAACTAGGAACATTTAGCTTAAGGAACTGCTAAAAATAGACTTATTAAGCTCAACATTTTATTCCTGAGTCAGTTAAAATTTTTATTTTGTTATTGTTTTTCTATCTAAGAATTTGTCATATTAAGCAATGTAAAATCCCTATATATACATGAGTGAGTAATTATTATTTAACACATTGCTTATGAATAAAAATATTTTATTTTCTCTCATTCAATGGAGTTCTTTTTAACCCTGTTATCGTGGTTGTTGTTAATTTATGTTATTATACCTTGGATTTATGTTTTCTTTTATTTAATTATTTTACTTTTGTATAGAAAAAGAAAAAAAACAATGCAGAGAGCAAGACATCCTCCTCAAAGAATTATATCGGATACAATGAAAAGAAATACATGAATGAAAATACTCTAACATACAAAAATAATAGGTTCTTAGATTCAATGAAGCTCTTAGATTGGCTATCTAATAGTATTTCTAATAACTTTCGATCCATAATCCAAAGAAATGCAACTCTATCCCACAACTCATGAAAAGAAGAATAATAGTCATCAAAACTTACGCGGATCCTTTCCAGCCAAATCACCCATAATCCTACAAATATCACCCCTTGCCATTGGAGCTTGGCTCCCTTCCAAAACCCTACTTCACGATTACATGAACCCATAAGCCCTCTACCATGGGGGATGATCCAATATAGATGATGTTGAACAAATTAGGGTTAATTTGTCTACTAATAAGAAATTGGAAAAAAAACCTAGATATCACATCTAGGGTTCTCAAACATCATATATAAAGGCTGATTAAATCACATAATAAATTATGAGAAAATATCAAAAAATTATTATTGAATACTTAGATGAGTAATAAATGAAATCACAAAACTATTTATAATAATTTCTAAGTAACTTTTCCTAATTAAAATTAAACTAGGAAACAATAATTTAATAAAATTAAGAATATTGATCCTAATACAAATAAAAAATTATACTAATAAAAATAAACTCCTAACTCTAGTAAAACTCTTAAATAATAAACTAAAAATACTCCCACAATAAATAAAATCTTATCATGATTATGTGCCATCTACTCTGCCCAAGAAGGGTGGCTCGACTCCGTCAAGTTGAAATCATAGAATCTGGCATGTATAATAAAGTTTTAGCCTCTTGAGAATAGATAATAACGCTAGTGTCTAAGAGCTTGGATGATGGTACAAATTTTTTGTCGTATGTGGTATACCTATGTTTTGCATCATTAGGCTTCTGAAAGTAGACATTTGATGTCTTTCTTGACAAGTATGCTACCACTACCTACTTGAAACGCATCACAAGTCACTTCAAGTATTTTGGAGAACTATGGAAGACATAATAATCGTGCTTCTGTCAATTTCTTCTTGATGATCTCAAAAGCTCTAAAAGCTATTTCAATCCAAGCAAATTTCCCATTCTTTGTGCAGTTCGGAATGAGTGTCATTATAGCACTACAATCTTCAATAAAACTTCAGTAAAAAGATGCCAACCCATGGAAACTTTGCGCTTCATGTAAGATCTTGGGAGTTGGCCATTCTTGGATAGCTTTTAATCCTTTGGAAGAGACAACAAATCCCAAAATACAATACTTATTCTCATAAATACACATTTTTTCATGTTAATATAGAAATTCTCTTGCCGGGACATTCTTATAACTTGTTGCAAATAAAAGATGTGCTCTACCTTAGATTTACTGACAATAAGAATATTATCAAAATAGACAACATAAAATCTCTCATTAAAAGCTTGGAAGACTTGATTCATGTAGCGCAAAAAGGTACTTAGGAAATTAGACAGTCCAAATGAGATGACTAACCACTTATACAAGCCATCTATTACTTTGAATGTTGTTCTCCATTCATCCCCTATTCATATGTGGATTTGGTGATCTCAGCTCTTAACTCTATCTTGGAAATGTATTTCAAGCCTAACATGAGATGTAACATATCATTAAGACGAGGTATGAAAAATCTATTCTTGATGGTAATCTTGTCGATTACACGACTATCAACACCCATGCTCCAGGTCCTATCTTTTTTGGGTGTGAATAATGTCAGCATAGCTCATGAGCTTAAACTTTCTTATCATACCTTTATACAGTAATTCATCAACTTGTCGCTTAAGCTTAGCACATTCACTTGGATTCGTATGATATGATGATAAGTTAGGCAATTGAGATCCCATAAGTAAGTCAATCGCATGTTGAATGCAATGAGGTTGAGGAAGTTCATTTGGCAGGTCTAGTGAAGCAATATTAGAATAGTCAGACAATACACTAGTCACTTCTGGTCGTAGTGTTTTTTTGAACAAAGTATTTGTTCCTTTACCTCACGACTATCTATAACATAAACAAATTTTCATTCTTTACTTTCGACTTCAAACTGCCTCCTTGACAAAAATGGAATTGTTTCTTTTTATCAACTGTTGCAATTTTTTTAATCTTCTTGGCTTTGAATTTTCTGATATCTTTTGTGTTTATGGATTCTAAGAGAAGTCTCTTTTTCCCATGGAAAAGGAATATTTATTTTTCCTTCCCTTATGGTGTACATTGTGATCATATACCGAAGGGCGACCAAGGATAATATGAATTACTTGCATGCGAACAATATCACATATGATTATCTTTATACTTATCACATTGGAGAAAGACAAGACATTGTTGAGTTACAGGAATTGTTGTGTCATCAATCCATGCTACCTTGCATGGTTGTAGATGTCATTTTGTTGGAAGATTGAGATGTGCTCTATGGTTGAAGCCGCTACTACATTCATGCAACTCCCCCCTGTCAATAATGAACTTTTTGCCTTTTGGTCCACAAATAACAAGGGTTTTGGTAATACGACGACAATCTTCTTCCTCAACTTTAGGTGTTCCAAGAATACAGCAAACAATAGACACAAGGAAAGGATCCACTCAACAGTCATCATCAGTTAAGTCATCATCATCAAGGGAAACATCACCCTCTCTATCTACTCTGTTATCTACTTCATCTTCCTCCATTCCAACACACAAGTCATTTTTCTTAGAGCATTGATAACCCATATGGTCTGGCCTCCCACATCTGAAGCAAACTATTTTGTTGCCACTTGTATTGGGAATTGATTTTTTCCCGAGGTAAAGCTCATTGTGCAGAACCTGCTCATACATCATAATTTATTCCAGAGTTCCTCCCAGGGAGTTTTAAGTTTCTTCGCAGTTGAAAATTTCAAAGGCAGCGGCTATTGGGAGCTTCTGCCAGCAAGTGTGGCAGTTTCTGGTGGAGCTTTGCAACGGGGCTTCAGGGATCTGTTGATTGGGC